GAGAGGAAATTATAAAGAACAGAGCAGAAATCATTGCAATTGAGACTAAGAGAATGATACAAAAATTAATGAATCAAAGAGTTGCTCTTTTGAAAGAATAAAAAAATTGATAAACCCTTAGCCAACCTCATCAAAAAAAGCAAATAAAAGGCGAAAATCCATGCAATCAAGAATGAAAAAGGTGAAGTCACAACAGATCCAGCAGAAATCCAAAGCATCACCAATACCTAATTCAAGAACCTGTACACTAATGAAATGGAAAACAATGAAGAAATGGACAGATTCCTAGATACATATGAATTACCAAAGTTAAGTGAAGAAGATATAGAAATTCTAAACACCCCAATTACAATGAGTGAAATTGAAAATGTAACAAAAATTTTACCAACAAAGAAAAGCCCAGGTCCTGATGGCTACACTGCTGAATTCTACAAGACATTTAAAAAACTATCACCATTACTCTTTAAACTAATCAAGGAAATTGAAAAGGAGGCAAAACTTTCAAATTCATTCCTGGAAGCAAGTATTACTTTGATTCCCAAACCAGGGAAAGACACCACCCAAAAAGAGAACTGCAGGCCAATCACCCTAATGAATATTGATGCAAAAATCCTCAACAAGATACTGGCAAACAGAAGACAAAGGGTCATCAAGAAGATCATACACCCTGACCAAATCCGATTTATTCAAGGAATGCAAGGATGATTCAACATTAATAAATCAATAAACATAAAATACTATATTAACAGAGTCAAGGACGAAAACCATAAGATCATCTCAATAGTTGCAGAAAAAGCATTCTACATAATCCAACACCCATTCATGATAAAAACCTTACAGGAAATTGGCATGGATGGCCTTTATCTCAACTTTGTTAAGGTTATCTAGTAAAAACCAACAGCCAACATCATATTGAATGGCCAAAAATTGAAAAGTTTCATGCTAAAATCAGGAACAAGACAAGGATGCCCACTATTACCACTCCTGTTTAGTATTGTTCTTGAAACATTCTCCACAACAATTAGAAAAGAGAAAGAAATAAAAGGAATAAAAATAGGAAAGGAAGAATTTAAACTGTCGTTATTTGCTGATGATATGATACTTTATATAGAAGATGCAAAAAACTCTGCCAAAAGACTTATAGACTTAATTGACAGATTCAGCAGAGTAGCTGGATATAAGCTCAACACTCAAAAAAATAGCCTTTTTATATACAAATAATAGAATCACTGAGAGAGAAATTAGGGAAACAATTCCTTTTACAATAGCAGCAAAAAAATTGAAATATCTAGAAGTCAATCTAACAACGTAAGAAAAGACCTCTACAATGAAAACTATAGCACTGTGAAAAAGGAGATCGAGGAGGATGTAAAAAAATTTAAAGACACCCTTTGTTCCTGGATAAGAAGAACCAATATAGTGAAAATGGCCATACTTCCAAAACTATTATATAGGGCTGGGGATTTAGCTCAGTGGTTCCAGAGCCTGCCTTGTAAATACAAGGTCCTGAGTTCATCCCCAGTACCAAAAAAAAAAAGAAAGAAAACAAAATTATTATATAGTTTTAATGCAATGCTGATTGAAATTCCAACAATATATTTCACAGAACTAGAGAAAACAATGCAAACATTCTTTTGAAATCAGAAGAGACCTAGAATGGCCAAAGAAATTTTAGCCAACAGAGATGTGGCTGGGGGTATTACAATCCCTAACTTGAAACTATATTACAAAGCTATTCTGATAAAAACAGCATGGTACTGGCAAAAAAAACAAACCCAAGAATCAGTGGAATAGATTAGAAGTTGCAGAAATGACTACAGATATGCTCAGCCACCTCATCTTTGACAAAGGAGCCAACCATCCTCATTGGAGGAAAGATAGCCTATTTAATAAGTGGTGTTTGAAAAACTGGATTTCAACCTGCCAAAGATTAAAACTAGACCCATACCTATCACCATGCACTAAGTTAAGATCAAAGTGGATTAAAGATTTAAATATTTGGAGAGTAACACTAAATTTGCTGGAAGATAATTTAGGTTGAACTCTTGAAGACATTGGTATAGGAAAATATTTTATGAATAAAACCTCAGTGGCATGGGGGAACTTGCACAAAGAATCCACAACTGGGATCTTATCTTATCAAAAAGCTTCTGCACTGCAAGAGAAACCACCAACAGACCTAAGAGACAACATACAAGGTGGGAAAAATTTTCAGCAACTGTACCTCAGACAAAGGACTACTATCTAAAATATATAATGAACTGAAAAAATTCAGACCCCTCAAATTCAAAGACCCAAATCCAAAAATGGGCATCTGAAATGAACAGACATTTCTCAGGCAAAGAAGTAAAAGCAGCAAATAAATATATGAAAAAAACCTTCAACATCACTGGTTATTCAAGCAATGCAGATGAAAACTACAATGAGATTACACCTCACCTCAGAAAGAATGGCTGTTATGAAGAAATCAACCAATAACAAATGCTGGCAGTAATGTGCTGAGAAATGAACCCTTCTCCATTGCAGGTGGGAGTGCAGACTTGTCCAACCACTGTGGAAATCAGTATGGAGATATCTCAAAGTATTAGGCTTAGAGGTCCCATTCAACTGAGCTATCCCCCTGCTGGGTATCTTCCCAAAAGAATTAAAAGAATCATACCACAGTGATATATGTGGACCCATGTTTAAACCAGCACAGTTTGTAATAGTGAAAGCTTGGAAACAGCCCAAATGCCCACCAACTGGAAGCTGGATAAAGAAGGTGTGATTTTTGTAAAATGGAATACTACTCATCCATAAAGAATGAGAAACTAGAGACTTTTATAGCTAAATTGATGCATATTGAGGCCATTCCCTTAAGTGAAATTAATAGGCCACATATGTGTAAATACCAAATAGTTTCTCTAGTGTGAGAAAATGAAAGTGTAATTAAGGATACACATGGTGTAATTGCTTAATAACATATTTCTCGGATTGCATTCCATCGTGTGTCATATGACTTCATTGAAATTTAAATTAGGGAGAAGCTTGGCTTATGTGGAGTCTGCCAGTTAACTGGAGTTTCTTTCCAGACCACTGTTTGTTCAAAGTTTGTTTTGGAGATCTTTCTGAAACAAATTACATCCTCTAGTGTCTTGTTGGTTGAGATTCTTTCTTAAGTTACATAGAAAAATGTTTAAGTGCTTTTCAGTTTTGCTTTGGTTGAGTTCTACTGTATTTGAATATTATTGTAGTTTTTTTCCTTGCATTTTTCTTCTTTGAATTGTTTTAATTTTTGTATGTGTGTGTGTTTGATAATAAAGTTATTTAAAAATAATTTTAAAAATATAGGCCAGCAAAGAAAAAAGACAAATAGGATTACATCAGAGTGAATAGTTTTGTACCACAAATGAATCCAACAGATTAAATATACATTCTAAATAATAAGAAATACTTGCCAATTATAAATTTAAAAATTCAAAATATATAAAGATCTCAAATCTGTAATAAGAAATCATGCTAGTTAAAAAATATACAAAACATTTAAAGAGATAGTTCTCAAAGGGAAAGTATATGTGACCAACAAATACATAATGAAATGGTCAGGATTGGAAATCATAAGGGATACACAAATGCAAACCACAAGGTAATATCACTTCACGCTCATTAGAATTGGTGTCATGAAAAAGACAAAGGATAAAAAGTGTGGCAAGGATCCCCAGAAAAAGCAGCCCTCATCCGCTGTTGTGTGGAATGTCCATTCATACAGCGATTATGAAAACAGGTTGGAGGGTCTTCAAAAAATTAAAACTAGAACCACTCTGTGACCCAACAATCTCAATGCTGTGTATGCATACTAAGAAGCAGGAGTCAGTGCGTTTAAATTGTATTCCTATTTACAATAATACAACCAGTATGTGCAATCAGCCTGGTTTTTCATTGATGGATATATGGCTAAAGAGAATGTGAGATACATATATAGCTATATAAGTCAATATAGATATACATGTAGATACCACTGAATACCAGTCAGCTGCAAAAACACGGAATTCTGTTGTTTTCAACATGAGTAAACCTGGAGAATATTAGGTTAAGTGAAATAAGTCAGGCTCAGAATGACAAATACCTATATTTCACTAACATGTGGAATCTAAAATAGTTGGTATCCTAGAAGTAGCAATTAAAATTACAGTTATTACAATGGGGTTCATCTGAATAGTTTTTGGGGAGCTATTTATTAAAGGATACACAGATACATTTAGAATGGAAACTACAAGTTTAAATGATTTAATGAACAGCATGGTGACTATAGGTAATCATGATATATTTTATTCTTGGAAAATATACAGAGAATGGATGTTAATGTTTTCTCATCATAAAATATCAACTATGTGAAACAATAGATTGGCTAATTGGCTAGATTTAGCCATTCTACAATGTATATACACTTCAGAACATATTATAAAGGATAAATATATACCACTTAATATGCCAGTTTACTTTTCTTTTTTTAAAAGTAGTTGAATATTTTATTTGTTTCTTATTGTGCTGCAAAGCTGTTCCTTGACTTGTATAAAAACAGCCCCAGGCAATGCAGTCTATTGCAAAAGTAAGAGTGTCATTCTTCATCTGACACTGTCCAAGTGACACACTGAGTATTTTCACTGAAATCCAGGAAGAAATATAAGCAAGTTAAAGTTTTTTGTAAAGCCTATGATAATAGTATTATCCTTGCATCACATTAATTTTATAGCTAGATTTTATCATGGATAGTTTCATGAATTCTGAATATCAGAACCTGTAGCCTAGTCTAAAAATCATAAAGTTTATATAAAAAATGATGTACATTGTGTTTAGCTGCAATCACTATGGAGTTAAGGGTATTTTCATCCAGAAACAGTGATGAGATCAGTTTCTTTCTTTTCCATCATTATACTACTGCTAAAAGTTATCATCTCTGGTCTTCTGTCCAGACACGGCTGGAAGAAGTCACTACACACTAGTTTATTGTGGGTATCACTTCACTCCTCAGTTGATTTCACATAGTTCTCATATGCTTCTTCACTCAAGAACTCATCTAGTTCTGAAGTGTCACTCACTGTCATCTTGGTTAGCCCACCAACTTCACAACAAGATTTGTCCACAAGCCCTTGATTTTCTGCAAGTGCTTCATTAATTTCAGCTACTTCTCCTGACACAGGAGAACAGATTTCACTGGGAGCTTTCATGCTTTCCAAAGCACCAAACTTATCTTGCTTTTTCAATTTTATCCCAACTTCAGGCAGACTAGAATAAGCAACATCTCCCAAAGCTTCCTGTGCAAAGATGCTGATTCCTACCATTCCAATACCATTTTCTGTTGTTATCCATTCATGTTTCTCTGTGAATTTATGTGCTTTGAGCACAGCTGTCCTGTGTGCAGGACTGGACAGCACACACCCTAACCCACAGGGCCCAATCAGGCAGGATACAGAGGGCACGGAGGTTGCATGCAGGCTGCAGGCCATGGTGTGCATGCTGTTGGCCACTTGCACCACCATTTTCACAGGGGTAAGGGGGCCAGTTTACTTTTCTTTAATTAAAAAAGATGTTTTTTACACTTACAGAAAGACTGTGGTCTTATTCTAAGGGAAATAGTCCAAGAAAAAGAGAAAAAAGTATTGATGCAAAATAGAGACAGAAAAGGTGTGAAAAAATCCCTGATAATGTGGACTGTGAGAGAAATCTGTGGTGTAAGATAAAGGTAATATTTGGCTTTTTCTTGCAGCATGTAAAATCCTTTACACTGACAGGAGTTAATCAGGAAGATATGTGGGAATTTAGTGGGCACTCAATAGAAATAGTACAGACAGATATTTTCTTCTGACTATTTCAATATCTTCATTGAAATAGTAACCAGTTCATCACCTGTGTGAATTGGGGAAAGAGAAGCCATTTGAGGAGTTTTAGATCAGAAAAAGTGGAAAATGCTCACATAGAAAGAGAGAATAGAGCTAAGTGGTACTCATGCAGGTTTAAGGCCTCCCTGCGGGTAGCACTCTTATATGCACACATACAGCAAGGTGCACAATCCACTGCTGATTCCCTCTAGTTGCAGCAGCCCGTGGTCAGCCACCAAGAGCCAGGGCATAAATCTATGTGTTTCTTCTGGTCACTGTAGACAGAGAGGGGCAAGTGGACAGGAGTTCATGCAGGACATCATAAGAAAAGGGAACATGTGTTTTAAGATCAATAAAGTTTTTAAAGTAGAAAGAAAAATAGAAGTCATGCAATTAAAGATTTGGAACTTTTTAAAAAACAAGCATAGAAAGTCTTTACAATCAACTAATACTTTAAAAATACTAGAAAGTTTCATGTTAGTTGTTGCTAATCAGCAATGCATTCTGTGTGCAGAAAGTGGCATTCTTGTACTTTGTTGACAGGAACATAAAATAGTCAGTTAAACATCCAGTGTGCAAAATTTTCATCAAGCACTTCCATACCAAAGTCCTGAAGGTAAACTCACATATGTGTACCCTGAGATACACATAATGTTATTTGTCTGTGAGAAGACCAAACATTTATCAGAAACAGGTAAATATTACTGCTTATAGTTATGTTGTCCTCAACAGATATGGAAATAATTTGCAAGATCTCTACATAACAATATCTTGAGATAATTACACAAAATCAATACTTATGGTAAAGTATACAAATCTTATGTATACAAAAACTGTAAATAATTAACTAGGTGAATTTTGAAGTGAACACATTAGAAATCTTTTCAAGATTCTTGTGGCAATAATTTCAATATATGATATTCATGTGACATCAATGATGCAGTTTCTCTGTGTTGTGGCTCTAAGTTGGTGCACTGTTGTTTATGAAGCTCTGTTTTTACAATTCATTTAGTCTTGATCATAACATAGTTTATTCAGGGGGATGCTGCATGTGTTCCACAGTCCCAGTCAGTCCTTGGTATAATCTGTATTAACTGTCACTGTGCTTTGAAATACAGGAACCAATGAGAATGGTTGTTTAGGCTCTGCTTCTTTGCATTGCTTCTGCAATACCAAAAGTGTCATCTAAACTTTCTTGGTGATTGTGGTAACACTTTCTCTATTGCATCTCCAACACTGGCTCAATACCTCTGTCATAGAAGTTTAAAAATAATATGAAGATTGTCCATTACCAACATAATCCTATGACTTTTGGGATGCTTTTGCACCTGTTATCTTTGGGTTTTTTTGATACCTCTTATGGCCAGATATTTCATGTTCCCAAAGTTTCCAGAGAATTATTACCAGCATCCTGGGAAACTCTTCTTTCTCTTAGTGGAATTCTTACACAGAAAATTCGTCTTTTTTGTGTGTCTTGAAAGACAAAACCATAAAGAGAAATTAATTGGGAAAATATTTTTAGGAGATGCAAGTAGAGAGCAGAGAAATTTGTAGACAATATAGCTTTCTCTAAATTAAAATGTATGCCTCCCCATGGAAAAGTGGCTAAATAAATTTTAATCAGTGTGAATCCACTGATATATATCTCAAACATTAGGTAACATGGTTATATTTAAAAATGAAATCAATATCATAGGATGGCTTTTTTTTCAGAACAACAAGTAATTCTCTTGCTGTCTGTTGTAGAAACTCATGTACACACATCCACTTACACACAGCAAACACATACCTACATATATGCAGGTGGCAATGGCAACTTTTTTGTTCATAATTTTGGTACAGATTTTTCTCACATTTCATACAGAAGCTTTGGACTGCTAAGACAGTCTTCTATTCTACTTATTGGGTGTGGTTTGTATTGTTAAAATATTTGATACTCATCACTATGGAAATCACACTCTTGGAGAATTATATCATTTATACTCCATTATTATTGGTATTGGTTATAAATTTTTGCCTAATATATATGGAAAGTATTAACATCATTTGTATGCCTGTGTACTAACTTTAAGAGCCATTATGAGTTTCACAGCTCAATATGTTTTCCCTTTATCATGAGCCTAGAAAATGCGCAGAGAATAATTATATTTTCTGTACACTGTGATCTGAAATGAAGAAGAAACAGCACAGAAGCTTGTGGAGCCATGATGTAGTGTGAGGAGAAAATTAAAGACAAATATTCTTGAAGGAAAAAATTTTAAATCTTCATAAAGTTCTATAAAATAAAATTTGACAGAACACTAAAGGATCGCACACTGTCTGAAAGGGAGTTTGTACCTAAGATGCAAGGACGCTTTCACATGCACAATTCAATAAGTGTAATACACTACTTAAAAATGATAAAGCATAAAAGTTATGCAACCAAGTCAATAGATACAGAAAAAACATTCTGGCACAATTTAACATCATTTCATAATATTAACTCTCCACAATTATGTATAGAAAGAATGAACTTTACTAAAATTAAGGACATATATGTCAAAGTACAAGTGACATTATATCAAATCCTAAAATATTAAAAAATTGCCTCCAAGTTCAGGAACAGGAAAAGGATATTCACTTTGTCACTTATGTCAAATAGATCTGGAACCCTAGGTTGAGCAATTTGTCACAAAACAGAAATTAAATGCATCTACACAGTTAAAAATAGTAGTAAAATCATCTAGCAGATCATACCATTTCATGTACTGAAAATGTCAAAGACTTTAGCACTAAAACAATTAGCTCAAGCCTAGAATTCAGTTAGTTACAGCTTATAAAATCAGTATATAAAAATCAGTTGCCTTTCCACATGGCAACAATGAGCTCTTTCCAAAAATAAGTAAACCCACTTATTAGCAGAAGAAATAGTAAACTACTTAGAAATAACCAAGTAGGTGGAAGTTCTGTGCATTAAAACTATGGAAATTAATTAGACCAAGCAAAGCAGGCTGCCCCCAAGGTCCCGCCATTCTCTGCTCCCCTCAACCTTACCCTGTGGCCATATGAAGACCAGGAAATTGACCCATCTAGAGGCCAGCCGCTGAAGGATGGTGGCCAGGGAGGGACAGTCATCAGGACTATGGGACCATAATGATGGAGCCATTGTCCAGGCTGCTGTCCTGGATGCGGAGCTCCTGTGGCTTTCAGGTATCTCTTAGTGAGGATCTACCTGGCATCCCAGGGAGGTGGAGTCCAATTATCCAGGATCCAGAAAAGCATAGTGGGTTAGACATACTAGAAATGCTAATGGAGAGTGGCATGTGGTTCAACAGATAAACAGAATGACTCTGGTGAGTATTAGGTTCATGCCAATGGGATCTCATTGCTCCTTGGAGACTAGAGATTCTCTCTCTCTCTCTCTCTCAGCTTTTTCATTTTTTGAGACAGATTCTAACTGTGTAGTTCAGGCTGGCCTTGAACTCACTATGGAGCCCAGGCTAGCCTTGGACTCTTGGTAATCCTCCTGCCTTAGCCTTCCAAGTGCTGGGGATTACATGTGTGGGTCACAATGCCAGTCGTCTTTGGACATTCTTATTGGGCTGTGCTTAAGGGTAAAGTTCTAGCCATGTTTGTCTTTTAATAAAAGTTAGAAATCTACATTTCCAAAGGAAACCACTCAACAGAAGAGGACATCACTGAGGACACAAATGACACAGAGCTGGTGGCAGCTACCAGAGAGAACCATGGGTCAAAGGAAAGTATGGGTCAGTGTCCTTGAACACAATAGCTTCCTTAAAGCCTCTAAACTGTAAATGTCCATTGTATTTGTTCCACCCCCTTGTAAAATGTAAAAGATGTGGACCCCAAAGCATTTTTTAAAGCATTATTTCTAAACAAGCCTGAATTATAAAGTAGGAGCTAATTTGTTCAGGGTTTGTAATGTTTAAAGAATGAGGCAGAGGAATATTTTCTAGTTATATATGAGACTACTATCCAATGCATATTTTGATACAATTACTTTTTAGATCAAATAGCTACAGTGCCCAAATATATTCAACTTAAATTATTAAAATACAAAAGTTCCACAAAAATTAAAGAAGATATAAATAATGTGATGTTTTGATGTGTTTATAATGTGGTATGATTTAGACCAACAATATATTTGTCATGTCACTTATTCACATATTTTAGGATGAGATATTTAAAATTTATTCACTTATTTTTAAATGTATGCTGCATTAGTGCTGGCTATAGTCACCCTCCTATATAATAAGATATCAAATTTATTACTTCCATTGGAACATTTTACCATTTAGTCAACAATCTACCCTTTATAACAATATACCCTTTATAATTCTATATAATTTGGAGATCAAATTAATATTAATAAATTTTAAAAGATACAAACAAATGCAAAGGTATCCCATTTTCAAGGAAAGAACCACTATCGTTAAAACATCCACAGGACTCCAAGTGGTCTACAGATTCAGTGCAATTCTGATCAATTCCTGACCTCTGTTCTGCTCACTCATTCTTCAAGCTTGGCTGTTTTTCAGTGTTCACACATGGGCAGAGTCCTGTCATTTTTGCTTTTCTATGACTGGCTATCTCACCTAACATTTTGATTTCTTGATCCATCCATGTTGACACGAATGATAGGGAATTGTCCCTTTCTTACA